TATTTACTTGTTGAAAGGGAAAAAAACGATTGTGTTCTGCTGATTCTCAAGGATCCTTACCCTCCATCGTTCCTCGTAGGTGTCATAGTATCGGAGTTGATATCGTACTGTGCAACCTGTAAGGTTCTGAAGGCTGGCTGGCCGAGTCCAGTGAATACTGAGGTAACCCAGGAAGCCAGGGTCTTTTATCTCAATATTGGCAGGTGGATCCACTGTGGAAAATGTATATGTCTATGAACAATGTTGTTTCCCTTTTATAACGCTTGGCTTGAAGACAGACTAAGCACCTGCAGCAAACATCTACAGTAGTTGTAATTCTGAACTCAAGAGTCGTCAATCGGATGAGTCAAACTGTTTTGTGTGCATGCCATGAGGACAAACAGTTGTGAAATCCAGTGAATTCAGCCTATTTATCAGTGATCTGCGACACAAAGTCGTGCTGAAACTTCTATCTGTCTAGTCATAAAGTTAGGCAATCAAAGAACGGATGTAAAAGGAAACATGAACAATATAACAAATGTTGAAGACAGATTTGAGAAATATCAAATACGTTTACTATTTGCTTCATCTTAGTTTACCTACTAAAGCTTTGATAAATGTTATGTTCATACAAATACTGACTGTCTTGTATTTGATCTGACTCAAGGGAAGTCTGGAATTGTGCCTATTTGTTTAATCGTTTCATTGGAATCAGCCAGGAAACTTACCCGCCTTTCCACAGGCCACGACCTCTGATGTGGAGACGGGGTCCTGAGTCAGCAAAAGCAGAGTAAATGCAGAGAGCCATACAGGAACCTTATTCGGCAGCAACATGTTCTTTATCTGTCTCTGAGGGATAAAGCATCGGACATGTACAGCATTAATCTCTCTTCACGCTTGTTTGAATTACATTGTGCAGTGTTCTTAAAAAGGGAAGAGTTTAAATCACCCACACAGTCAGATCTTTTGCTTACGTATAAGGTGTGGCCCCTGTGTTTGTTATAGCCAGATAAGTTAATAGTCTGCTCAATCTTGTCAGCTATGGCATCTTAACCCTAAAACAGCTGTTCTGCATCACAGTGTTGTTCTCAGCCTTAAATTGAGTTCACACAAAAATGGAAATTCTGTCATCATTTACTCGGCCTCATGTCGTTCCAAACCTGTATGGCTTTTTTTCTTTATGCAAAACATAAAGGAGGATATTTTGAAAAATGTTGGTAACTAAACAGTTTCGCTGTACATCGACTTTCTGTGTAAAAAAATATTTTTTCAAATAATCTTCTTTAATGTTGCACAAAAGAAGAAAAAAAGTCATATTTGACTCATAATGATTGCAGGTTATTTTTGGGTGAACTAACCCCTTAACACATTCGCAAATATGACTTTATATATAAATATATAGTATTTATAGAAGGGAAAGCAAATTATAAACCATATTAATTCAGCATATAAATGGAACGTGCATTAAAAAACAAATGTTGATATGTAGTTAGAAACATGTTGATGTTCTGTAAACATAAAAATATATTTTTAATTTTGTTATATATTAAAATATGCAAATATTACAATATTATATCCTATATTATATGATAATTTCTTTATATGTTCAAAATGAAAAGATGTTCACAATTTTAAACAATAATGATCAGAGAACTAGAGTAAAAATACAATGGTGTCATAGTTATATGTTCACTCTGTATTCTTTTTAGGAACTCTGTTTTTTTAATATATATTATAGCTACATTAAATATAACATATTTGCCTTATAGGCCTAATGTTTTAAAATAAAGGCTGCTATTTTGATTTGAACTCAAATATTTACAATAAATGTAGATATCTGCACACACAAAAACAAGTATATAGTTATAGAGTGAATTCAGATCAATTACTCCACTTTATAGTTAAACTAAATACAGCCTATTTAAATAAAGTAGATCTGAAAAGGTGCTGAGAAGTGGAAAGTCAAAATATCCATATACGACGAACAAAAAGCTACTACAGTACAAAATATTAGAAGAAATATACTCACTGTCACTGTCCTGTGATAGAACCTCCTGATGGTATGAGCTCATATAGTTGCCTTAGGATGGACTGAATGAAATCATATCATGGTTCTTAAATGTTGTAGGAACAGCGCTCTCTAGTGTGAGTGACTCATTGTGCGTCTGCGCGCGCGTAAATCACACGGTTATTTACAGACTGTCTTGTATATAGTTACAGGTTTTTTTCTTGAACGACATACATGCCACAATTTGTACAGCATTGCAATTGATACCGGTAAAAGTTAATCAAATACTTGTGGTTTTGTCATTTGGTAAACTGGTTGAACAGTTCGGAATGATTTGAAACAAAGGATCATTGTTGCTGCAGCTCCGTTCACACAGAGCGTTTGTGTTGTTCGGGCGTTCCGCCGGTGTGTTGTCCTGTAAATCACCCTAGTTAGACTGCCAAGTGTTTACTTGGGTTTACTCTGTTTATTCAATTTTCCCCATTATGTGCAGAAATATGGTCTTTACAAGGCAGCAAGAAAAAATATTTTTGCAGGGGGATGTTTATGCTGAATGCGAGCGTTGAGAAGTTTTAGCTCTCAGAAGCACAGCCATTTATTTTCCTAAGTGTAAATGATAAATGTGTCCTCTGGGCTTTAGGCTGATTGAAAACAGCATGCTTGCAAGTTACCATTGATGAGAAATATCAGAAAAATGTGCAAAATAAATAAAATAAACATCATCAGATGCACAATGTAGGCTAGTAAAATATATATAACTACTCTATTTAATATGTTAAGGCTGTACGTTTATAGTATTAAGATAGACCACAAATTCACAATTTTCCTCATTAATATAAACTAATACATAATATATAGTGCTTTTAGGAGTACAAATGTATAGTATCCATAATGTGGCTTAAATTCAACAATAGGAAACTTAGCTTGCAGTAACACATATTTGCAGTAACAATCTTTCTCAAGATTTTTAAAGCTTCAGTAAATGGGTTCATATCTCATAAATAGGCCTACATATCTCTCATAATTACAAATTGGACTAGAGTGTTATTTTATAATCTGTTCATTGATAAATAAACAACTTTCGTCTATAGCGGTTTTGAACGACTCAAATTATTCTGCTGCAAATAATATGGAGTTAATAGTGTCTGCTTATCTTTGTTCATGAGTGCAACCTGAGAAAACAACACTTCCTTCCTGAACCTGTGCCTTCTCTGTGATTGATTCTCTGGAAGAGAGATGTAAGCTTTCTTTGGAAATGGATTCATAGTTCTTGAATCATTTAGCAGACACAGACAGATGAATGGTCAAATGTGTTGCTTGATATTTTAATAAGCATTGCTTAATACAGTCTGATACTAAGAGAGGTCTGTATTTTCTACCCTGTTATATGAAGAATTGTTCCTGCAGTGAAGGAGAAGCACAAAGCAAAGGTCAAGGACGCAATGAAACACTGTAAAATGTTATTTTATTCCAGTATTTTGACATCTGAAATGTTTCGGGTAGTTTCCTTTTTAAGAAACATCCTAATGTGTTGAAACAGAGATTATGTACAAGAACAATGGTATGATCCAGACATGCAATCCAGTTATGTCATACAAAAACATCTATACATACAGTACGCACTGCATAGGAGGCATCTCCTGTCTATTACTTTTGAATGAACACTTCTTTTTACAAACTGAACATTTTCTCAACATGAATGAGGATCAGAGCTGACAAGTGAGATTATTTCAAAGCTTTGCTAAAATGGAGTTTGATTGTGAAAGGGGACAAAAAATAACACGAGAATGGCTTTCATTCAAACAGCATACTGTCATCCTCCTCACAAACAACAGTGTAAATGTGCATACTCAGTATGAGCCGTCTACTCGTTTCCCACAATGCAATAAGACTGTCATAAAACCCGTTTCAGCGTTAAATTTTTCAATTTAAGGTCTTATGGCAACGATTATCTCTGCTACAGTTCCGTCATTATTGTAGCATACTGAGTACTATAGAATATTAATAAAAAAGTAGCATGCAGTATGCAGTTTATACCTTGTACCAGGCACCCAGTTTCTGGAATCTCGCAAGTGACAGTGTACATGGATGTGTGTGAGTGACAGATGGCTAATTGGAAAGTCTTAGACACAAACAAATGTGAAACTGACACTTTAAACTGATCTAACATGGAATTCACAGATCTTATCTAATGGGTGTGAGTGAAAGTAAAATCAAATATAATAAAAACATGTTTTGTTAAGAAGAACTGTACAGGTTAAGAAGAACTGAAAACATTTTAGATTATTGGCAGAGATTGTGTCAAGGACCCTGAGGAATTGCTGTCATCAATACATCACCAAGCTTTGGATCTGAATCAGAAGCAAGCTGCTATGCTACTGTATATGGACTAGGGTAGGGGAGTGAATCATTACTAATCGTTGTAAAATTTAGTTCCCAAAACTCCTTTCCACAGAAAAGTTGTCAACAGCTGCTCCTACTGCCAGGTGAGCATACTGTGAGGTTTTGAAAGGCATAAATCAATGAACAATGTTTACTCATCAGTCTCTTCAAAACATCAACAAGTAGGCTAACTTTCAAGATGTGCTTGAAGTGGTTATTCAGACATGACAGCAATAATAGGCAAAACATACCTGTAGTTTTCAGACGGAAATATGGCAAATAATCATGTATGGTAAAAGATCGTAAACTGTTAGACCTTCGATATAGATAGACAAGCCTAAAATTGAAGTCACCTTGAAATAAAATTTGACAAATGTAATACTGCAGTATTTAGTATTAAAGATTTATCAATGCGCATCAGTATATATTTTAAATCCATGTGCACTTTCCCTCCCTCCTGCAGCGACATCTCTTCTCTGATGACATTTTTACTGGCGTGAGGGCAGGACAACCTGAGATCAATCACATGATCTCAGAGATCACAGCAATAACAACTACAACCATCCAATCAATTCCTAATGGACAAAATCAAGTCCCGCCCTACATTTTTTCTTGTTCGGAAAAGTGTTACAGCTAATGTTCAGGTAGTGAGCAGACAAGGCTAAAAAAAGGCAAATGTTGAATGACAGTACTTACATGCCCACTATAAATTCGTTTATACGAGAAAGCAGGCTAAGACACGAAGGTTGGAGTTTACATGCTCTGTATTAGCAGCCATTTTCTTACTTTCATATAAACGTAATGAGAATGTGGATTATGCAGTCATGTAAACGCATAAGCAGCATTCTTATGTTTTTTTTTTATTGAGTGCACAAAAAACTGCACAATTCAAGTAACATAAAAACTACTGATGCGTAAGCAATGTGATGAAACTGGGCATGTAAATGTGAACGTTTCTTTCTCATCTGATCCTCATTAGCTTTCTCACAATAAATGGCTTTCTGGTGTGCATGTAAACGCAGAAATGGAAACTGAAAGAGCTAAAACCTTTCAAGATGGTGACCTCCAAAACCTCCAATTTCCTCAAGACGTTTTGAATGTTATTGCTGATTTTGGGGCAATAGTTAATGTTTTTCAGAGGTTGATAAAGAAGTAAACAATTTAAATAAATAAATAAAACATACAAAAGTACATAAAGGTAAATAAATAAATTCCTCGATAAAACAAATAAAAATGACTTGTACATACTAAAATTTCTAAACATCTTTAGTTTACGGACGAACTGCAGCACATCAAATGCTTTACAACTTGATTACATTTTCCAGGCATCAAAGATTCTTTAGATTTGTTTATCTATGAGACATTATTTTTTAAATCAAGCCTTTAGTTGATTGTAAATTTAAATCCATACAATCAAGTGTGTGTCAATTATAAATGGACTGTTTCTACTCTATGTGATTATAATTAGGTGTTGCAATATTTAAAACTGGCCTATTTTTAGTGCTGAAAATTATTCATACCTGCACAACAAACAATGAAAATTCTAGTGCACAATGCAATTACAATGGAATTCTGTTGTGAATTCCTCACGCAGGCTGTTCACGAGAACTGAAGCAATAAAATAAAACCTGTGGGAAAACCAGTCATAATTTAGAACAAAGATTTGCAAGTATGTAAAAGAACACAAACAAGCCTTTGTCTCGTATGTACATGAGCAGTGTCTTCACGTTTCAAACAAAACAGTGCAGGCATGCAGAAAGAAATTAATACTTTCTAATGCACTTCCAATGACTCACCTGACTGCAGTAAATTAACAATTATGACAGCCATGATCCCTTTTTTATGGCAACATCTTTGTCGGTCCTTTCCAGGTGTCCCCATTGTTGGTCTGGTTGTGATTACATGCACATCAATACATGTCTCTCCCTTACTTATTTCCTCAGAAAGACAGGAAACAACAGACAGAATGTAACGAGATGACTGACAGCTCTTAGTGACTTCATACAGGAGAGGGCTGGAGTGGCACTGAAATAAAACCTTCCCTCTGGTCCAGAATCAGCCAGAAAGCTGCATACTTTTCTCCTGTCCTCGCCCATTGTTGGGCTCACCGGTCCAAGAGAAGAGCAAACACGAGAGATATGAGAAGGAGATACAAAAGAAAGGAGACTGAGGTGTCCAGCATTAAGACGGCACAGCCAGTCGTGGACTAGAAACAGATATTTCCCCTCAGAATGAAATGTGTGGCTTTAACGTACAATTTCCCTCCAATAGGGCACAATATTGGAGCTTTAAACTGTCTAGTCCCCTCCATAGAGGCTTATAAGAGGTAGGGGAAAGCCGGCCTGTTCACCACAGTTGAGTTAGGGTGAAGGGTCATGACCTCCACATAATAGGTCAAAGAACAACACTGAGAGTGAGGAGTGAGGATGAGGTGGTAAGGCAGGGTAAAGGGATGCTAAGTGGACGTCCCATGATCCAGCGATGCTACATGGTTGAAAGTTGGTTGGGCTTTGATGATGGAAGATCCAGCAGTGCCTGTACAGTGACACCAACTTTCACCAGACCTCGCTCCTCCAGGATGTGATGTGGCAAACACAACTTGTCCTGTTCATGAACACACAAGCAAATGTAAGCATAAATATAGATAAATAACATCGATAAGATAAATGGCCTATATTATAAATCTGTACTACCTTGTTAAAAATGATGACACGGTAAAACAAAAATACAACATTTTTAAATAATACAACATTATAATGTACACTACTGTGCAAAAGTTTGGGGCTGGTAAGAATTTTTTTAAAGGCTGCATTTATTTGATCAAAAACATACAGCAATATTGTGAAATATTATTGCAATTTGAAGTAACTGTTTTCTATTTGAATATATTTTAAAATGAAATTTGTTCCTGTAATGTCAAAGCTAAATTTTCAGGAGTCATTACTCCAGTCTTCAGGGTCACATGACCCTTAAATTTGATGACTTGCTGCTCAAGAAAATGTCATATTATTATCCATGTCAAAAACAGTTGTGCTGCCAAATGTTATTGTGGAAACCATGATGTTTTTTTTTTAAGATTCAGGATTTATTTGAAACAGAAACCTTTACAATATAAATAGCTTTACTCTCACTTTTGATAAATGTAATGTGTCCTTGCTGAATAAAAGTATTAATTTCTAAAAAATCTTACTGACCTTAAACCTTTGAATATATAGTGTATGACATTATGGATAAACATTCAACTTCATTTTTTTTTTGGATGAATGCACAACTACTTCAACATGTGCACATCTATCAATATCCCTTTAAGTAAAAACTAGATTATGTTGTAATTTTAAAATATGTAGAATCAATAAAATATTCAATATCAAATTATATAATAAAAAAAAAATGCAGATATCGGATGAAAACATACCTGTGTCACTCCAAGCTTTTTACAAGCATCCAAGAAATTCTCAACATTCCGCCGACACTTGGCCATACTCAGCTTTGGCTATTAAAGACACACACAGACAATGTCCTTTATAAAAACCTTCAGAGAGTAGAGTATCTAGCACTAAACAGATCCACACAACATCAAACAATTTATGTGCTTGTTTTGAATGCTAAACAAAGGTGCAGAAAATCTCATTTGAACCCAGAAATACTCTAAGACATTTCATTAATTATTATCAGAAAAGGAGATCCAAGAAAGTCTGAATGAAACATTCAGTGGGACTTACCACTGCAGGGGAGGGCACATGAATACTGGCCACGGAACGAGGACGAATGTGATTGGCCAGATGGCATAAAACAACACCATCCATCAGAGCAGCACCTACATCGTCTGGCAACAAAACCTTCAACCTAGACTCAAGGTTCTGCAAAAAAAAACATCACTTTAAATCCAAATAAGAGACAGGTATATCAAATGAATGAAGCAAGAATCATCCATGTGCTAAACCTCCATCCTCTGTTCAGTCATTCCGGCTATCACATTCGCTCTTCACCACCAAGACAGCACATAGCTGAAGAGGTGGAAGTTGGACATGACCGGAAATCATTAGCAAAGACAAGCAAGCATTTCACTGCGTGTGTGTATCAAAAAAAGTGTATAAACACACACTACCGTTCAAAAGATTTAGATCGATAAGATTTTTTAACGCTTTTAAAAGAAGTCTCTTCTGCTCACCAAGGCTGCATTTATTTGTTCCAAAATACAGCAGAAATATGGTGAAATATGTTTACAATTTAAAATAACTGTTTTCTATTTGAATACATTTTAAAGTGTCATTTATTCCTGTGACCAAAACTGTATTTTCAGCATCATTACTCCAGTCTTCAGTGTCACATGATCCTTTAGAAATCATTCTAATATGCTGATTTGATGCTCAAGAAACATTTCTTATTATTTAGTGTTGTCAAAATGATTAATCGTGATTAATCACATCTAACATAGAGGGTTTTTTTTTCAAATCGATTTGACAGCTCTATTCTTATTATCTATGTTGAAATTTTTTTCCAGGATTCGTTGATGAATATAAAGTAAAAATAAAAAAAAGCTTTTGTAATATTATACACTACTGTTCAAAAGCTTGGGGTCAGTAAGAATATTTTTTTTAATTAATACTTTTTAATGCTTTTATTCAGTAAGGATGCATGAAATGGGTCAAAAGTGAAAGTAAAGATATAGAATGTTATAATGATATATATATATATAATTTCCTTTATACAGTTGAAACCAGATGTTTACATACACTTCAGAAAAAAACACAAACACTTTTATTTCTTTACTGTCATACATTAAATCAGAGTAAACTTTTTCTGTTTTAGATCAATAAATATTAACATATTTTTTGCAGAATCGAGCGAGGGATCATTTTTATGTATTTTTTTTTATCACTTTCATCAAAGTCAGAAGTATACATACTCTTCCTTAGTATTTGGTAGAATTGCCCCAAAACTGTTTCACTTGGGCCAAACGTTTTGGGTATCCTTCCACAAGCTTTCTACAATAGTTTGCTGGAATTTTGGCCCACTCCTCTTGACAGAACTGGTGTAACTGGGTCAGGTTTGTAGGCCTTCTTGCTCGCACTCGCCTTTTCAGTGCCGCCCACAAATTTTCTATGGGATTGAGATCAGGGCTTTGTGATGGCCACTCCAATACCTTGACTTTGTTGTCCTTAAGCCACTTTGTAACTAATTTGGAGGTATGGTTGGGGTCATTGTCCATTTGGAAGACCCATTTGCACCCAAGCTTTGACTTCCTGGCTGATGTCTTCAGATGTTGCTTCAATATATCCACAAAATGTTCTTTTCTCATGATGCCATCTATTTTGTGAAGTGCACCAGTCCCTTCTGCAGCAAAGCAGCCCCACAACATTATACTACCACCCCCATACTTCACAGTTGGGATGGTGTTCTGAGGCTTCAAAGCTTCGCCCTTTTTCCTCCAAATATACCGTTTATCATTATGGCCGAACAGTTCAATTTTTGTTTCATCAGACCACAGGACATGTCTCCAGAAATTAAGATTTTTGTCCCCATGTGCAGTTGCAAACAGTAGTCTGGCTTTTTTTTATGGTGGTTTTGAAGTAATGGCTTTCTTCTCCCAGAGTAACCTTTTAGCTCATGGTGGTACAGGACTCGTTTTACTGTGGATAATGACACTGTCTTACCAGTTTCAGCTAGCATCTTCACAAGGTCTTTTGCTGTTGTCCTGGGATTGATTCACACATTTCGCACCAAAAAACGTTCCTCTCTGGGACTCAGAATCCGTCTCCTTCCTGAGCGGTATGATGGTTGTACATTCCCATGTTTTTTATACTTGCGCGTTATTGTCTGAACAGATTAACGTGGGACCTTCAGGCATCTGGAAATTGCACCTAAGGATGAGCCACACTTGTGGAGGTCCACAATTCTTTTCCTAATGTCTTGGTTGATTTCTCCTGATTTTCCCATGATGTCAAAGAAAGAGGCTCTGTGTTTGAGGTGTGCCTTTATATGCATCCACAGGTATGCCACCAATTAACTCAAATGGAATCAATTAACCTATCAGAAGCTTCTTAAGCTCAGAGTGGAATAATCTGGAGTTTTCTTTTTGTTTAAAGACACAATAAACTTAGTGTATGTATACTTCTGACTTTGATGAAAGTGATAAAAAAATATATAAAAATGATCCCTCGCTCGATTCTGACATTTAACAAATGCAAAAAATATGTTAATATTTATTGATCTAAAACAGAAAAAGTTTACTCTGATTTAATGTATGACAGTAAAGAAAAGTTTTTGTTTTTTTCTGAAGTGTATGTAAATATCTGGTTTCAACTGTATATCCTAGTATAAAGTAATAGTAAACCCTACACAATAAGGGACCAAACTGCTTTAAATAGGCAGTGACTCAAATAGCGCTCCCCATGTGAAGCACACATCCAAAAATGGTTTTACTCCTTTCCTCAGAATTAAATAGGAAACGTTTGTTCCCACCTGTCTGATTACATGGTATGAATTACTGCCTGAAATAGATCGTCCTTTTTTTACATCATGACCTAACAAGTACAGTTAACACTACTGATGAGAGCTCCACAGAGACAAGTAGAAACATAAAACAGATAGAATACTGTCCAAAGAAAGCAAGAAATCACTGTTATGGCAAGTGGATTTTAAAAGCACTGACAATACATTTAAAGAGAATTTTTACCTAAATAAACCTCTAGGCTAAAATTAAAAACAGAACATGTTTTTGAGTGTGTTTCACTTCGCTTACCTAGAGATATGAATCAAGCATTTTTTATTATCTTTTTTAACTTTGTAAAATATGCCAGAGGAATATTACGGGGGAATTCTGACCTGCCGCAGGAGTCTGATCTGCTCCATCTCCTCCCTGAGGTGCTCCATCTTTCTCCTCATGGTAAAGCTTGGGTCTGTGGAGCTTAAGTCTTGACGATTTCCACGGGAGAAGGCTGAGTAGTAAACACACAGTCATTATCATCATGTTTCTCTTCATTTCCTTTAACAACTAACCTGTCTGATCTTTGAGTCTGGTAAATCTTTAAATCTGCACACTGTGTAAACCTGGTCACTCAGTGTCTCCTGTCTGTTCATTAGCATTAGCTTATAAAAGGGGAAGTTTAGAGGTCTCCCATGACTGCCCTTCAAAGATCAAGTTTGTTCATGCACATCTGACTAATCTACTGACAATTTACTGTTGAATAGCTCCATAATTCATATTTTTATACATTTTCTGTTGCAGCCCTGGTTTAAACAAATAAATCTGCTTTAAAACACTTTGATGTGGAACAAAAAAAACATAAATAACCTCAGATATAGACTTTACGGTTTCAAATGGTTTTCAGCTGTTTGTGGTTTTTTTGTTCAAGCCAGACAGTTATTTACTAGATGAAATTACATTACATGGCCATTAAAAGGCTTAAACAACCACACTTCTCGATTTCTCCATATTTTCACAGCACTTGGTAAACCTATTTCTCATTGCTATAGTATGAGGCCTAATTTACATGAACAAAAAATATAGAGAAGCATGTTTTGATTTGTTTCGTTGATGTCTATATGCTGTATTATGCAGATGATAAACATATCAAAACAGGTGATTTATTGATTGTTCACATAGCAGCGGTACCTCTACAGCAGCTATTTGTGGGTCTCAGAGCACAAGATATTAATATTTCAAAAATATGACTGACTCAAATGATAAAAAGGGAAGCATTGAGACTGATAACAAGCGGTTTTGGTATTGTATGCTGCTCAATTGCCATTGTTTTCTGTGAGACAGGAAGCACAGGCCTTCCTTGTGCTTTCCACTGAATTGCAAAGTCATGAAAAAAAAGCCTTGGTATAACTAAAGTTCAAGACCAAAGTTTAAGATGATATCTTTCCAAAGAAATGCTGTTCTTGACCTCTAAATTCCCATTAAACAAAGGTAATTTTGAAATGAAAGAGATCGTAAAATTTGAGTGCAGTCTCTAAATAAGATATCTGTGGGAAAACCACTGTTAATGTAGTAAAGAGCTTAAAAGACGATTTCAGACATGATGCTTGTTTCACTCAAGTGTAATTACTAGAAACGGTTTTAAATAGGAAAATATCCGGGGTTACACATTGATACAACTTTCATTGCTTACTTGCGCTAAAAAGCAAATGCTTTGCAAAGCTAACAAACATTGGCAATACCATCACCAAGATTAAAAACAAAGACAAATTATAAGAAAATAAAAGGGGAGGGGGCGATAAAGGGCCTATTTACACATGGTTACTTGATGCGATCGGATAGCTATCAGATCTGAAAAGACCATGTATACTGTAAATACCCCCTGAAACACTTTCGAGACAGATCTAAATCGGATCACTCAAACCACTTCAGGTGAAGGTTTGAGACGCGTCACATCCTGAAAGCTCAACAACACAGTGATGATAAATAAACTGCATCTGTTGCATTCAGTGACGTGAACTCTGTGAGCTATCTGATCAGTAAAAACGCATTAAGTGACAAGTGTAAATAGGCCCAAAGATTTACCTGATCTTGGTTTCAGGCCAAAGACAGTGAGAGTTGTGGTGAACTCATTAGACCGCATTCCCTCCTGCAAAAACACAGGCATTGTCATGCTGGAAAAAACTGCCGTATGTAAACACGGCAAACACTCCTGAAACAATCCTGAATTATGGATTCAGACATGGATTCAGTTTCTTCTGACTGAGATGGTCGGTTTTACATGTTTTACACAGATGTTTCCTTCCTCCATGAACTTTGTGAATGTTATATTGTACTTTTACAGAGTCAGACAGGGGTACAAAACCAAGGTTTCTAATGAATTTCCAATAAACTTTATTGACTGCACTGACAAAAGAGCAGATTTGTACCTGATGAAATATTATGAAAAACTGAGCATAACTAGAGAAATAAACATTAGCAGCGTTTACATGGACCCTAATAATTTGTTTGTAATCGGACTAGTAGCACAGTCGGAAATAAAAAAAGTCACGACAACCACGTCAATCGGAATGTATTGGCCAAATTCGATTAAAATTTCATTTGGATTGTAAGGAGTGGTGTAAACTTTTTCTAATCCGATCGAGAGGACATGTAAACCAACATTTGATCGGATTGAAAACCGAATCTGGAAAGTACTGCGCATGTGCAATGATGTAGAGATGGCGTAATGTCGTATGACGTGTGGAACGAGCTGGTGTTGTTGAATGAAGTGTCAACTGACTGTCGTGCCATTCTCAAATTATCCTTCCACTGATCGTCTTTGAAGTGGAGCAGGACAACCTCGCACCAGTCCTTGTTTTGGACTCTCATCCACAGAGGCCTTGTTTTTGGCACGGGAAGAGGCGTTTTGTTTGATAAATATAAGCAGCACGGCACAACGCCTCTATAGACAAATATTAAGTAATGTAGGAGAAATAATGTTTCCCGCCCGTGTAGCGGGAAACTGTATATTTCTGCAGTGTACGCATGTCAAAAAAATCTATTCCGATTTGAAGCTTGTGACATAAACGTGCACATCAACCCAATCACTTTATTTAGCGTTCATGTAAAGACTACGTTCGGATTCATCAATCAGAATGAATTCATTCCGATTGAAACAAAAGGTCTCCATGTAAACGTAGCTATTGATGACTATATATATATTTCTGTGGTGGATGAAGAATGAAATATTTTCTTCAAAAAACTGGTTATGACAGTGCTTAAGAAATATGGAAATTCTTGAACTTTATATGCCTATGTTGCAATCAGCCATAGAGGGCAATGAAAAAAATGTATACTAAACCTAGTCTGTCTTATGATTTTGTAGTCTAGACAAGATGCTTAGAAGATAGTTTAACCAATCAATTTGAAGAAAACATGCAACCTTGCTATTTTATGCATTTCTTAAAATATAAATATGAGTGTATGCGTGTTTTTTGGCTGTGAATATTGAGTTTGGTTACTGCTGTGATGTAGGTTAGTGGGGCACTATAAATTCTTATTTCCCAAGTGATAGTATCCATAATGCTCTGGGCTCACCTGAGAATAATATTAGATTGGGATCACAACTATCTCAGGTGTCTGGGGCGTTAGGTGCATAGAGTGAATTTCTACAACATTTCCATTACTTTACCTAGCCTAAATATCACAATTATAGAAATTCCCTGATATTTTCAGGTTTTTCATGACTGTGGAAACCCAATAAAACAGTGACACTCAAGCAGAGACATGCAGACAGTCACACACACAAAGTCTCACCTCACAATCATTGTCGTTGCCACTTGAGTTTCTTCGAGCACTTTGACACTTGTACTGAAATGGGAAACACAGGGAGCCAGAAGATCAGATCTGTGACACATTTTTTCAGCCTTTAACATCAGAAATGCAGTAAATGGTCTAGTCTGAGATAAGGGATTTACTGCCCCAGATAAAGTGCCCACACTCACGTTGACAGACTGTCTGATGCATGTTGCACACAAAAAAAGTGCACATGCTGACTGATGTCACCACTTCCAAAATTAATGGCTGGAATAACATAGTCTGGACCAAAAGGTGCCAAATGACCAAACACTACATATCAATGTACAGACGTGTATAAACTGTTTTATATTAAATAAACAGTACTATACTTTTGGACTGACATAAATTCTGATTGGAAAATTGATACACTTTTTCTTACCATTTCTGTAGTGTTTTCTGTTCAACCATTTGTGGAGACAGCCACAAATTGAATATATATATTTTTTTTTATTAATTTATCCCTCACCAGTTTTATTATCATGACATGATCCATTTCACATAAAAAAGTGATGTTGTTTGATCAGACAGACTCTTACACAAGCACAATAATAATCGGTTTATGTTCATGTTCTTTGTCCAATCGCATCTTAAGAACAGATTTAGGCATATCTGACACCAGTTTCAGGTCGATTCTGTTAGTCACAAACACAGTTTCTTTTCCTGATTTCCCTCTTATGTGGAAAGCTGGAAACCTGTCTGATCCAAACTGATTCCCTTATTGTTTCGCTCTCTCTTGACTTGGAAAGCTACTCATTATTTCAGCTCAACCATGACTTTCCTTTTTCTCTGAGTCTCAAACATTCCTCACTGTTTTAAAATGAATTCATTTCAGTTGAAAGTTAAAACAAATGGCTGTGAATGTTTAACCGTTTTATTAAGCAGAGGCTTGATTCAGGAAAGCAATACAACTTTTTTTGGAGAAGAGAGTAAGACGTCATATACTAGACAAAACAAAAATAGAATTATCAGCCTGGCATCGTCTACACTTGTCAGAGCAAAGAGGGAGAGCAAATTCTAGACGATTCCCATAACAGTCCTGGAATTCCAACAGTGATGACATAAAATGAAGATAAACAAGATCAAGAACAGGGAAGACATTCATCTTTCCTCTGGGTCAAATCACACAGCTGCAGTGAATGAATTGCCTCATTCAATCAACAGGCAATTACAGAAATGTTTACGGGACGACCTACATACTGTACTGTATGTGTTTGTAAGTTACATGGTAACTTGCATACTACGTACTGCTGAAATTTGTCATGTTGCGCCACGTTATCGACCAGGCAGAACAATCCTTCCAACCACTATAGATAGATTCTCAAATAGCTTACCTGATCTATCTCAGCTGCTCAGTGAACCCAAACAAACAGATGAACTAGAGGAAATGACTAGCAGTTTTAGCACCATTTTCTCTAGTACATTAAAAATTGTTGCACCAATTAGATTAAAAAAGGTTAGAGAGAAAACTAAAGCACCATGGTACAACAGTGCTACGCATGTTATCAAGAGAGAAACTCGTAACTTAGAGTGTAAACGGAAACAAACTAATTTAGAGGTCTTTAGAATCGCGTGGAAAGACCGTATGTCACGTTATAAAAAGGCTCTAAAAGCAGCCAGGGCAGAGCATCTCCGCAAACTAATAGAAAATAACCAAAATAATCCAAGGTTTTTATTTAACACCGTGGCTAGACTAACAAATAAACAGACATCACCTGAGCAAAATATTCCATTACAGTGTAGTAGTAATGATTTTATGAATTTATTCACTGAGAAAATATAGGAAGCATCAAAAACATAATTGTAAATGTACAATCCTCTATGGTGTCTTATGATTCAGCCTCAATTATGGCCCCTCAAGAACAACTAAACCGCTTTACAACTATAGGACAGGAAGAGCTAAATAAACGTATCATTGCATCTAAACCAACAACATGTTTATTAGATCCAATACCCACTAAACTACTGAAAGTAGTGTTACCTGTAGTGGAAGAGCCTCTTCTCAATATTATTAACTCGTCTTTATTTTTAGGTAATGTTCCAAGAATATTCAAGCTGGCAGTAATAAAACCTCTCATTAAGAAACCACAATTAGATCCAAATAACCTAGCAAATTACAGACCCATTTCAAATCTTCCATTTATGTCTAAAATACTAGGAAAAAGTTGTGTCCGCTCAATTGTGCTCTTTCTTGCAAGAAAATGATATCTATGAAAAATTTCAGTCAGGATTCAGACCGCATCATAGCACAGAAACTGCGCTAGTTAAAATTACAAATGATTTACTTTAAGCTTCTTACCAAGGCTGTATCTCAATACTAGTTCTACTCGATCTTAGCGCTGCGTTTGACACTATAGATCATAAAATACTCTTGGATCGACTACAAAACTACACTGGTGTTCAGGGACAGGCATTAAGCTGGTTTAGATCGTACTTATCAGACCGTTACCATTTTGTCTGTTTAAATGGGGAAAAAGATAACGTCAGTAGACTATGGAGTGCCGCAAGGATCGGTGTTAGGCCCTCTGCTATTCTCAATATATATGCTGCCACTTGGTAATATTATAAGAAAACATGGAATTCATTTCCACTGTTATGCTGATGACACTCAATTATATATTTCATCATGACCAGATGAAAACACTAACTTATCTAAATTTACAGTGTCTTAAAGATATAAAATGCTGGATGACATGTAATTTCCTGCTATTAAATTCAGATAAAACGTACGAGGTATTACTTATTGGTCCAAAAAACCACCCACAAAACCTCTTACAATACAACTTTAATTTAGAAGGATGTCCTGTTACTTTATCCACTACAGTAAAAGACCTGGGTGTTATACCAGACAGCAACTTGTCTTTCGAAAATCATATTTCATTTGTTACAAGAACAGCCTTTCTCCACCTTAGAAACATTGCTAAGCTACGTAACATGCTATCTGTTTCTGATGCAGAAAAGTTAGTTTCTGCATTCATGACCTTGAGACTAGATTACTGTAATGCTTTATTAGCTGGTTGTCCTGCATCTTCAATAAACAAGCTACAGTTAGTGCAAAATGCAGCCGCTAGAGTTCTTACTAGGTCAAGAAAATATGATCGTATAACACCAATTTTATCATCTCTACACTGGTTACCTATTAAGTTCCATATCAATTACAAAGTATTACTACTGACCTATAAAGCCCTAAATGGTTTAGCTCCAGTGTATTTAATGGACCATCTATCGCCCTACAATCCATCGCGTTCTTTAAGATCACTAAATTCGAGGGTTCTGGTCATTCCTAGGATATCTAAGTCCACTAAAGGAGGGAGGGCGTTCTCACATTTAGCTCCTAAACTCTGGAATAGCCTTCCTGATATTGTTCGAGGCTCAGACTCGCTGTCCCAGTTTAAAACTAGATTAAATGTGCATCTCTTTAGCCAAGCATTCACACAATGCTTACCTTTTATACTACTGTTGAATCAGATCGAATGCATTAATATTATGAACAGCAGCTATGCTAATTATTTCCCATCTGCTTTTCTGCTGTTATCTCAGGACGCCAGTCCCAAGGTAAATAGCGTCCGTCAGCTCCAGATTGTATCCAGCCTCTCAGGGAGACTTCAGATGCCCCAACACCTGCGATGAGATGACTAAACGCCTGTGAAGAGACGACTCGACGCCTGTGAAGAGACGACTCAACGCCGGCGATATGTTATGCCCTGAATTAATACATAATTAACTAACTGTATTTTTCTATGTACATTTCTGAAATGCACTTTCTGTAAAGCTGCTTTGAAACAATATGTATTGTGAAAAGCGCTATACAAATAAATTTGAATTGAATTGTTTGGATGACTGGTTGTGAACAGGTGTGTGTCGAGGTGTGTACAGGATTCTATTGTGTGGTAAACCCTACCTTTCACCCTTTATGTTAGGTATCTTTAACTACTATGTACTTACTTTAAAAAACAACCACAAATTGTTAGGTATAATTTACTTATGTTCATGTTGTATAAAGGGTATGTAGTATGTACTGACATAATTTTCCCGTTGGGACACGCTCCCTCAGCCGGATTGAGTGGGAAAACATCCTGCAACATTTTAATAGGGGCAACTGTGAAAACGGGAGTAAAACAAATGATTATCTGCATAAATTAAGGGAAGTGACAATGATCCTCACAACTTACCAAAGAACCAGTGGTCCACGGACATTGACATGTGGCCAGGAAACGAGTTTCTTGAAAAGTACCTGATTTCGACACCGGGGAAATACATAAATCTAAGCCTGTGAACGCTTTATCTGCTAGGCAACACTACAATACAGGTAGATCTAAATTCGTATGATCACTTATATCATTGTTATATATCGTTATAGCACTCGGCCCTAAAACTTGTTAAAGCATTACAGACATAACATTATGTCTTTCTTTAAAGCTGTTTGGAAACCATGCCTGTTTTGAAGAGCTATACAAATAAATTTGAAGACTACTTCAAGACTTACTTCAAGACTAGATTTGTTGGTGAATTTTAAGTGACGAAGACATAAAAGGATATTTGGGCTGTTTCAATTTGTTTTGTAGAAACTTATAAAGTTATCTGGATACCCGTCAGCTGTTACCGTCAGGCAAACGAGTTCAATCTGGATTCAAGTTGTTTCTATGAATTGCAGTGATTTGCTTCTCTTTTCTGTAAAAAGATGGCTCAGATTTCGTGTTGAATCGACTTGTACAGTCAATCACACAGCTCTTTCCCATCATGTGCATACCCTCTATTGCAAAACACTTGATGCTACTGAGATGGGATTCAGGAAAACCCACTTTTGGCAATAAAAGGATTTACTAAAGACACACAGAGAAATAAATAGCGCTGAAAAGGCGTATTTCCTACTAAAGCAAGGCGCTACTATATACTAAATACTCTGGTCAAGCATGTCCATTGCAGACTGGTGGGAGAGACCTTGGACTGCAACATGTAAAGTGCATTGAAGTTTTCCTACCTATTTGGCAAAAGGGAAGCAAAAAACTAATTTT